ATCCACGGCCAAAGATCTGGCCGTTGACAGCTAGAACATTGGCCATAGCTGGTCATCATTGACGACCAAACAAAGGCCATCTCAGTGCACGACCGGCTAGATCTTGTCGGTCGTGTGCCAATACGGTGACTCTGGCCACCCTTCGGCGATGGTGGTCGACTGCCAAAATTTAATGGGTGGGTGGGGGTGTTTTTATAATTTTTAATGTTTTTACTACAAGGGTGTTTAGTTATTTAACAAACCTAGGGGGTGTTTTTGTTAATTTTCAAATCCTACCTTATTATTCCCACCCAACTCTAAAAATATCAAAAATACTATCCAAAACAAGGTTTTAAAACCCGACCCAACCCGGCCGGTTTAACCGGTTCGACCAAGAATCGGTGGCTTAGCCGGGCCGGTTAGGGTAGAAACCCGGGAATGAGAATTAACCCAACCCGTTTTGACTCGCGGTTGGACCGGTCCAACCGGTTTTGTCAACTCAAATTCCTAAGTTCTAAGATTCAAATCCCTCTTACAATTTTCAATTAAGGACATGAGGCTAACCAACCCAAAAAAATAATACTAATCAACGAAGCTACTAGCAGAAGAGAGTATCCAACTCGAAGAAGAGGAGAAGAAACAAGTGAAAGGAGTTGAAATCCTAGGCCGTTGCTGCTGCGATGGCGATGGTGGTGGAGAATGGTGGAGGTGCATATAACAGTGGCGGCACATAGCTAATAAGAGAGAAAAAAATGAGGATCTTGTCAAAAAGGAAGAGTGAATGTGTTTGTGTGCTTTGGTGTAGAAGGCATGCACCATTTGATTAGAGGAAAGCTGAAGAATCGGAAGAGCTTTAATAATTAAAACAAAAGAAACAAAAGAGTAAAGAACAACAAAGAGAGTTGGAGAAAGAAGTTGCTGAAGCTTTCTCTCTCTACTCTTCTTCATTCCTGCAATCTTAAGATAGAAGAGATTGAAAATAAATAATTTAATTTAATAAATAAAGAAGGTGTACTTATATTTAAAGGTGGAAAAGTAACCCGCCCGGCCCGACCCAGCCCGGCCCGCGGCGGGTTACTTTGTTTGGCGGGCCGGGCCTAACTCGCCTGCCAACAAAGGCAGGCCGGGTTAGGCCGCCATTTTCTCCAAAATGGCTGGCCCAGCCCGGCCCGCCAACCCTAACCCGCCGGGTTAGGTGGAGGGCTGGGCCGGGTTAGCCCGATTTTCCTATTTTTTTTATTTTTTGTTTTTTTTGTTTTTTTATTTAACTTTTCAAATAAATAATTATAAATATAATTGTTTTTAATTAACTTTTCAAATATCAATAATTCAATTCAATTTTTTTGTTTGTTAACATTTCAAATATTAATTCAATTTTGATACAATAAAATTATAATATAAGAAAAATTAGACTTATTGGAGTATGGAAATTGGAATTTGGAAAATTGGAAATATGAATTAAAAATTGCAAAAACTAATAAAAATTAAAATATGAGCAAATTGCAAAAACTAATAAATGAATAATTGAGAGAATGAGAGAATTTGAGTTGTGAGAAAAATGTGAAAACTGAGGGCCAATTTATAGGAAAAAATGGGAAAGAGAAATGATGAAAAAGACCCTTCCAACGGCTATATTTCAAGGGTAATTTGAAAAATAAAATAAAAATTTTTATTTTTTTTTATTTTTTTCGGCCAACCCGCCAGGTTGGCTGTTGCAACCCGGAGGGTTGGCCGTTACAACCCGCCGGGTTGGCGGGTTGTAACGACCAACCCACCGGGTTGCACACAACCAACCCGACGGGTTGCCGGGTCTCTTGCAAAAGAGACAAAATAGCAACCCGCCGGGTTGCGGGTTGCCATTGTGCAACCCGGCCCGCCCGGGAGTTGCTGCCGGGTTAGGGTCAACCCGGACCGCCATCTTGGTGGTCCGGGCTTAACCCTCATTTTCCCGAGCCGGGTTAGGGTTGACCCGCCTAACCCGGCCCAAATTTTCCACCTCTACTTATATTGCATTTAATGAAAAACAAAAAAAGTTGTTTGTTGGTGGACACGTTTCGATCATATGAGAGGTGATAGATTCATGAGCTAATGAGATAAAGAAGGAGAAGTAGACAGAAAACATTGATTAGGTGATAAAATCAAGAAAATGATGTCACCGGTTCGACCCGTCGGTCGAACTGGTTCAACCGATTAACCCAGGATCCGGTCATCTATCCGAGTCACTGATTGGGTCGGTTTTTAAAACATTAATCCAAAATGCTAAAACAAACGCATCCAATAGTATTTGGAATTAGGTGTGTTTATTTGGTTATTTGGAATATTATTGGTAGGTAGAGTTGGGTGATTATTACGAGGTAAAATTTAAAAATTAACAAAAAAACCCCTAGGTTTGCTAATTTAACTAAACACCCCAATATATAAAAATATTGTAAAATGACAAAAACACCCCCACCCACCCATAGTTATTAGATTCCGGCCACCATCACTGGAATCTGACCGATTTGGCCTTTTCCACCATGGATCTAGCCGAAAAAAGCTAGATCTACAACTAGATCTAGCCGTCAGTGATAGTCAAAGATATGGCCATCGTTGACTGTCAACGACAACCATCTGTTGGCCGTCGTTGACGACCAGATCTAGCCTTTTCCAGCCAAATCCACGATGGATCTGGCCAGATTGGTGCATTATCAACCAGTTTTGGCCAATAGTGTGCCGCTGTGACAGATTCAGGCCACCATCGATGGTGGCTGCCGGAATCTGGCAACTACGGGTGGATAGGGGTGTTTTTGTCAATTAACAAACCTAATTTCTTAATTGAGGATATGATTTTGAAAATAAGGAAACAAATATGCATTTGTATTTGGAATAGAGAGAGGATAGTGGTGAAATAATGAAACAAATGCATTATTATTATTATTATTATAAATTTCTTTAACCCCCTATATTTGACATTATTTAAAAAGTATATAATTATATAATTCATTATATACTTAAAATAATAACATTTTATATTTAATATATAAAATTGAGGTATTTAGCGTAATATTTTAGAATTTCTCAATAACATCAAATTTATAATAGAAATAGAAAATATGGTTTATAATAGAGTATTCAAATTACGAGTAAATGATTTTTTTTCTACTTAAATAATGGTCTAATGATATTTTTCCCCCAAAAGTTTCAAAATACAATTTTACTACCTAAACTTTATATTTCGTTAATAATTTCCGTTTAATATAGTGATATTAATTGTGAAGACGAAAATACCCCTACCAAATATCAACCCCCAATTGTCTGCCACCGCAAATCAAAGTTTTGCACGCCTCAGCCCAAATTTTACCTGATTCTGACACTGAAAATCGACCTTGTCACCACCACTCAACTCACTAGCATGCCCTCACCAAAACCCGTCTCACCCCCACCCGCAATCACTCCTCAATCATTGAAAGTCAAGGACGAAAGTCTTTGGGCAATCTATTGAGTAGTCGGATTTGGTCATTGGGAGGGGCATGTGGCTCAAAAAGGTGTGTTGGGGTGGTGCATAGGTATGGAAAAACTGGGGTTTTGGTTGGGGAATAAAATCAAATAAGTGGTGTGCGTAACAAAACAGCAAGGTTGTTGGAACGACTGGTGACTAGAAAAAACAGAACAACAACAACAACAACCCAAACACTTCAAAAAGCAACACAAACAAATCAACACCAAATGTCTAGCTTTTTTTCAAATGGTTGGGGTCGCAAAAATGCAACTGTCTCACGGCGGCAATGGCAGGTCACTAGCGACAAATAGCAAGATGGGAGGGCAAGTGGAGGTAAGGGTTTTGTTGAGTGGAGGGTGGGGGTTCGATTGGTGTCGTCGTGGAGAATTTTCGATGTCACATGCAACCGAAAAAAGGCCACAAAGAGGGGAAAACGTGCAAAAACGCAGTGGGCATTCACCAACGATCAATGAGAGCTGCGGGTTGGGGGTTTTGACTATCCTGCTCTTACTTATAATGAACTTTTGACTATCCTGCTCTTACTTATAATAAACTTTTGACTATCATACCCTTCTTCACAACAAAATTTACAAACAGAATTGTGCTTTGGATAGTAAAGTTGTATTATGATACTTTTTGCGTGAAAAAGTGTCATTAGGTTATTATTTACGTGGAAAAAAGTCGTTTAATCTTCAATTTACACAATAAAAGACGAGAATGGATTTTTTGAAACATGCTGATTGCTTTTGAAATTGACAAATACAATGATCTTTATGTAGTAGCATGGATCATTGTTTTAAAACCTGGATTGGACCCCAACAACCTCTTCAGTCCAGGTTACCATTTTTCACTATTCACAAAATCCATAATTTGATCGCCGACGAACGAGAGGTTACCAAGTGCCGTAGTTAAAGGGCTTCTGTAGAGTGGAGGCCGGTGATTCAAGGGGTGGTGTTGGATTGAATTTTGGCTGCTGAAATAAGCTAGAATTTGGCCCAAAAATTCAATCTGATATACTAGTCACGACCAGCAAATGAGAGGCTACCAAGTGTCGAGGTTCGAAGGGTTTTGTAGAGTGGAGGCAAGTGGTTCAAGTGGTGGTGTTTGATTGAATGTTGGACGCTAGAATCAACCAGAATTTGGCCAAAAAAAATCAACCCAATCACAGTGGTATACACGAGTTACAACCGACGAACAAGAGACTACCAAGTTCAGGGGTTAGAGGGGTTTTGTAAAGTGAAGGACGGCGGTTTAGGTGGTAGTGTCGGATTGAATTTTGGCCACTAGAATCAATTGGAAAAGTCAAAACACAAACAGATTACAAGGTGTATTTGCTAGATTTCAAACTTGTAGGGGCTGATTCGTATTTTTTAAGAGGGTGTTTGCAAGATTTTAAACTTTTTGGATCACTAGAAAACTGCCAGTTTAACTAGTCAAACGGGTCAACCCGAGACCTGGTGGCCTTACCGAGTCCCTTAATGGGTTAGGTTTTTTAAAACAATAGCATGGACATGCACATTTGTTCACACGATAAGATAAGATATTCCACAAAAAATCGACTTTCTATCTTTTAATCATCTTCACCCAAACCACAACTTATCAAGTAATGCAACTTTATTCTAATATAATCAAGAAAGAAATAATTGCGGAAACTCTCATCTAAGCTAAACTAAAACAGAAGGCTGCTTTGACTAATCTCTGTAATTTATCTATTGCACACCACTCCATTTCGCCCAATCCACAAACTGCATGCCACCATAAATATTATTGGCGAATCGCACACCCACAGTGAAAGCCTTTGCAACAGGAGGGACCTGCTCTGCCAATGCTGATTTTTCCACAACAGATTCCAGTCCGTTTATAATTTGATAACGAATGTTGGAAGACACAGCCAGAAAAACACCTGATTCAGGAAGCAAATTAATGAACAGTGTAAGATAATGTATGGCAACCTAAATTCAAGTAAAAAAAATCAAAATCAAAATCAATTTTGTGTCTGTCGCTTCCCAATTACTAAAAGCTGTTAACACTAGGACTACCGTTATGTAAGCTACAGGGCTGGAGCCTGGAAATTAAAGAAATGTTAATGAATTGATAGTGGCAAAGCAACAGGGTGGCAACCAAATTCAACTACTAGTTGAACGTTGTCTCTTATCAATCAATTTAGGAAATTCTAAGAAACCTAAGTTTTGTAGCAAGATAAAATTGCAGTTGTCAAGATTATTATAAAAAATAAAAATAAAACTAAAATCTATCAATATCCCATTCTTGAATATGAAGAGGCCAGGAGGAATTTAAGGAAAAATCATAGCAAAGAGCACTTCAACCAGTGAATGCCGTGAACAAAAACATAAAGCCAACTAAAATAAACAGGTGGACACAGAAATAGTAACTGACAACTTTAATAATAATATCTTAGATTCCAAACATTAGAATTTGATGGAAAAAGAAAAGTGTTGATCATACCCCAAAGAGCAGCACTTTGCAAAAGAGGTGGCACAGGAATATCCTCTTCAGATTTTTTGATTCTCCTGATCATAAAGAGAGACTCACACAGTAAGCAACTAAAGGAAATTGAAATTCACAGCCAAAAAGAAAGAAAACCAAAGAAATAAACAGCCAACATTGGAATTTTCAGTTTCATAAACACTACAGCAGCTTTCCAGATAAATAGACTTGGAATAAAGGTATAAAGATGCAAGGGAGAAGTTGTAAAAGGACACGCATATTAACACATCAGTGAGAGAAAGTTTATGAACTTCCCTTTCTCGTGTAAGTTGTAAGCTCAAAAGGTTTTGTGCACCATTCTTATTGAATTATTTATTAGTAAATGCAATAGAGACATTGTCAAGCTACAAGAAATGATGGTTATAGTTCAGTTTTGAATGTCGTCAATACAATGGGAGAATTTACAGAGATTCAAGGTCCTCAAAATGTATGAGCAATCAATACTAAATACAGAAATTATTAGATGGAACTATACCTTTTGGCAGTCATGATCAAATTTGCTATGCCTTGGCCAATGAGACCACAGCCAAACCCAGCTGAACCATACAGTACACCCTGGATCCAGAAAATGTCAGTTGATCAGTTAAATAGCAAGAACCAGAATTAGGATATAGAAAGTGGCAAACAAAGGACTAAGTTGGTGGAAGAAAATAACATTAAAACCTTATTCTAAAGAAATAAGGCAATAGAATAAATAAAATGAAAAAAATCATAACATGTACCAGTGATGGACTAAAAAACCTGTTCACCGATTGGTCTTCAAGATCTCTTGTCCAGAAGGCATTCAACTAGTAATATGTAAATGAATGGGCCTAGTAACATTTTGGTACCTTGTAAAAGTACGTAGCAATCCGCTGCTTCACTGAGAATCTACATCCTGGTCTCTCAGCTTCAAAAACACTGCATAAGAGGAGCACTTCCCTATGAGTAAAATCTATACTCTTCATAATCATCTAAGCTCAAGCAAGAAGAATAAAAGAAGTTCCTAGAGTCCAAAAATACACCTACAGAGAGAAAATATTCAAGAATATCAATAATGTCCCCAACGTAGCCCTGACCCAGCTACACAGATGGTAACTCATGTTATACTTACATTGTGATTGCGTTACTGAGATTTCAACATTGACCATTATTACATATGAAACAATAAAAATTGATATTACACTGCCTATTGTACAAGTAAAACCATTACACGTGATAGTTTCAGGATATGCTGGTCAACATTTGCAGCAGAGCAGAGTGTTGTATCTAGTACTAATCAATCAATGCATAATAAAGTTTTAAGCAATCATCCTTTTGGTTTTACCAGAAAAGGATTCAGTACTTTAATTTCCAGATTATTTATATAGTACCCACAAACACTATTCTCTATTTAGTGATACAAGATGGTTATTCTAAGTCAAAATAAGGCAGTTCGCTTAAAAATTTCAGCCAGCTAATAACTTCCCAGCTTCAAGAAGTGTCCTAATTCTACAAAGAAACCAAACACAAAAAAAACACAGAAGATAACTAGAACAATAAAGGATATAACATTTTATGGACCCAAGTAATATAAACTCTACTGTTTGCATGTGACACTAACCTACTGGGAAGAGACCGACAAGCATGTTGTATGCGTCCAAATAAACCACTTGACACTGATGGCTGCCCAAAACGAGCATAAGGCGCTAACATGCCAACCAAAGCAATGTCAAGAACCACACCAACCAAAAGATCAGCTAGGTACAACTCAAACTCTGACCAAAAATCCTTTCCCCTTTTCTGAACTTCCGCAAATGTTGCACAACAACAATCAATAACAATCTGGATCAAGCCAAATCAACCATAAGATGCAGAAATAAATTAACATTAAAAAATGGGGAAAAAAAATAGTGAGGCATCTTCTAAACTTGGATGCAACACAAACTAAATATGCAACATAGCTAGTGATATCTAATTGTCAAATTATGAGGGTCCGTTTGGTTCATTATTCTGATAGTTTTTAGAATAATCTTTTGAAAAAAGTTAAATTGGGCGGGTATTACGATGTAAGATTTGGAAATTAACAAAAATATCTCTTATGTTTGTTTATTTACTAAACACCCCTATAATAAAATATTAAAAGTTAACAAAAACAGCCTCAATCCACCCATTAAATACGGACAGTCGGCCACCACCGCCGGAGGGTGGCCGGAGTGTTTTTGCAATTTCTAAAATAAAATATTTAGGGGTGTTTAGTTAAATTAATAAATTTAGAAGGTTTAAAAGAAATTGAAAAATATAGAATAATATTTTGGAAATAATGACATTTTACTGTTTAACTTTTTGAGGAATACTAATAATAGTATTCCCAAAAGAAAAACAAACGAAGCCTGAGTATTGCGTTATTTTACAGTTTAACTTGGATTGCCAGTAGAGTAGACTTATGCAAGTGCAAGCAACGACAAATCAAATGAATGGTCCGCGGCAATGCAAAAGAAGAATGTGGATTTAACATCAGAAAATCCAGTTATCACAACTCGCAAATGAATGCATCCTCATGAATTTAAAAGTTAAAATTACCATCAACAAACCTCTATTCCAATTTTGAAAAGAAAAGAAGGATCAGCTAGCATTCGGTTACGAAGCATGGAACAGTATTTCATTAAGAATCCAAGTGGCCAAACTGACCCCTGCAATTCCATCCAATAAGAAGATGAGTATCGGTATTCCATCAACTAAAAAAAAAAAAAAAAATACACTATAAAAATTAAATACTGCTAGATAAGAATGCCTTCTAATAAAAGATGTATTTGGAGAACATTTAACTAAGAAAAGGGGGCTCTTTTCAGTAGTTAATAACAGATTAGATGCCTTTTCGAAAAGCAAATAATTAGGTGATCTTTCACGAAGTACTTTTCGCTCAAACCGGTTTCTTACAGTAAAGTAATCATAATAAATAACTAGTTGATGAAAAAAAAAAAATGAACCTGCAAATCCAAATAGCGAAGAAGAAACATTTTACGAATCCCAGTAGTTTTCGCAGCGTCCAACATATCAGAAGGCAAACTCACACCTTTAGCCTCCGTCTCTTTCATAACCTCTTCAAATTTCAGTATCGGCCCAAACTCCTCCTCTTCTTTATCGTTGTCTTCTCCCTCACCACCACCGCCTCCACCTCCGCTAGAGGAATCGCCCCCATCTCCATGGCCACCGCTGCCGCCACCACTGTCAATATTGGGATCACCAGTAATAAATTCTTCAGCGGCTTCCAATTTACCATTGGTAGCTTCACCACTAGAGACTTTGATCGTTCTCGGCACAGAATCTGAATTGACACAATGGATTTTAAAAAAGGAATGGTTTATTGCGGTGGAATGGTCAAATGGGAGAGATTGAAACAGAAAAGCAGGGTTTGTGATGTTATTATAATGATGGTTATGAGAAAAGTTAGGGAGATTGGGTAAGTTGAAGGTTGATGAAAACACTGACACTGCCATTTATTTTTATTTTTTTTCTTCTTCTTTTAGGTGTGTTGAGGTGATACTGATACAGTGATACCTTCACTTCAATTTGTGTTTTTATGTTCCGGAGTGGCGGAGTGGAAGGCTGGAGTCAGGGTTTTGGTCCTTTTGGAAGATGGATCCGGGACCATTAAAAAACATGGCCGAATGGAATTAAAAACAACATTTTAGTACCTAAGGTTTGATAAAAATAATTCGGTCCTCAGATTCTAAAAAGTAAATTTTAACCTATAATTTTTTGAATAGTGATATTCACCTCCTTAAACCCGGTGGATGTTACATTAATATTAACCAAGGGAGAGAAATATTTGCAATTAATTTATAAGTGTCATGTGTCAACATCTTTAATTTACCTATTTTCGGGTAAATTCCATTCGCCCTCGTAAGTAAAGACTTAAGTAAAAATCGTCTAACATCTTCAAAAATTATTAAATATCTTTGAAATTACCAAAAACGCTAAGTAGAGAGATATTTGATAGTTTCTAACAATTGTCGAGATGTATTTTATTTAAGTGTTACTCAAGCAATGAATGAAATAAACCCTCTATGTTCTATTATCTTATAAATCTCTCAAATGTTTTCAAGTCTAATATCGTATGAGGTGTAGAAGTTTTTGGTTTTATTATCATTTTTATATTAATGATAATACGACGAAAAGATATTTAAGGGTGTTTCAATCTTTTGACATGATTTTAAAAGACTTTGATAATAAATTTTAACGACAAAAGGGTAAATAGAGCAATTATATAAGTTTTGGATTAAATTAAACTTTTTACAACATAAGGATGAGTATATCTTGACTAGATCTAGTTAATAGATTGGAAGAGTGTGTTTAGGATCGTTATAGTTTAAGAAATGGTCAATTAAGTTTAAGTTACAAAAATAAAAATGTTTGGTAAATACAAATAGTTTTCAAAACTGATTAAGTCTGAAGCTTATTATAAAAAGATTCCAACAACTATGATTGGTAGCTTTAAAAAAATTATTTCTAAAGCTGATTTTACATTGTAAAATGACAAATATATCCATGCATAATTCTTCAAATTACAAAATTAACTTAAATAAATATTTAATTTATTAAAATGATTTATACTAAATAAATTATTAAAATTTACAAATTTAAATAATTCAAAAATAAAATTGACTAGCCAGTGGCAATCAACCACCAATCAACCATCGTTGACTGCGGTTAATGCCGATCAATGGTGGCACTTCCTATCCAGAAAGAACCAAAGATATCGAAATTCGGTTGAATTATCAAACATTGACTTAATTTAAGTTTTGGTTGACTTTAGCTTAGGTTAGGCCTGATCAAAATCACGAAAATTTATATTATAATCTTAGAAAACAAAGCAAAAAAAAAATTGTGTTGAACATTTTTGATGGATTGTAATTATTGTAAACTCTTTTAATTAATAATTATATTGGATTTAAGTGGATCGTTAGATTCCCATAGTCTTTTGCTCTCTTTAATTGAAGAGGTTTTTCTACGTAAAATTTTTTTTGTGTTTTCTCGTAAATTGAATGTTATTTTTAATATAATTTACTTAAAGTTTTATTTTTTATAAATTTATTTAAGTGGTAAAGTATTGTATTGTTATATTATTTTTTTCAGATTATTAATATTATATATTTTTTTTAACTTAAGATTGGTTGATTTTTTTAAATTTTTTACCTGTTAATAATGACGGAACCATGAAAGCCTCTCTCCGACAAAAATCCTGGTCCGTAACTGACTCTGGTTAATGCCAATCACTGGTGGCACTTAAAGAACCAAAGATATTCAATCTGTCGAAATTCGGTTAAATCATCAAACTATGACGTGTTATAATGTTATTTGGCCGCAGTAGCTGGCCAAAGCTTTTGTCGCCTTTTGCAACCAAGAAAGACGTCAAAATCTGACGGAGTCCCACATATTAGATTTTTTTGGTACGAATAGGACCGATTGTGGTCTCAACGCTGCAGTGTTGATTAACGTTGACCACTAATATAATTTTTTTATACATTTTAAAATATCTGTTGAATACTTATTAAATTACAAATTTTGAATTATAAAAAAAAATTAAGAAATAAAATATCTTTTTTGGTCATTACAAATACAACAACAATTTTAAAATCTAATTTAACACACACCCAACTATAGATTTTGAAGATCACAGCAATTATAAAAGTAGTGTTTATCAAACACATTGAAAATTATTTCTAAAACTGATTATTTTTAAAGTTGGACAAAATTTGATTGACTTAAAGTTACTGCAATCCCAAGTTAGCCCTAAATTGTTTTTAACACGAATAAAAATAGTATGATAAACACTTATCATAAACACTCTTTTACAAACGCTACGTGATAACTTGTAATTTGTTTGGTCAGATGAGACCCATGTGAATTAACTAATTACGAGCGAACACGTCGTATTTGTGAGAGAAAGTTAATGATAAATGTTTATCAGTATTACACTTTTAACACCTGGTCAAATCCAATTAGCATGGGAAAATTTTGATAGTTAATCTTTTTTTTATTTTTTTTAATTATTGTTGTACTAATTGAAATGATAATAGGATAAAAAGATTTACGGTATTTCAATCTTTTGACATGATTTAATAGGCTGCATTTTTGTCCCTATTTTTTGTCTATCATATTCTTATCATTTCCAAAATACGCATTGTTTCCTATTCTGAAAATATTATTATATTTTATTTAATTATTTTTAGACCCCCTAAGTTTGTTAGTTTAACTAAACACCTCAAAAAATTTAGAAATTGATAAAAACACCCCCCACCCACCCACATTTGCCAGATTTCGACCATCACTATCAGAAGGTGGCTGAAATCTAGTATAATGACACACTACTGACTGGATCTGGCTAGCAGTGCTCCGATAAAGCATTTTTCGGCCAGATCTATCGTGAATCTGGTCGAAAAATGCCAGATCTTTGGCCGTAGCTAGTCGTCAACCTATCGTTGACGACTAAACGTGATCAAATCTAGCCTTTTCCTAATAGATCCAAGATAGATTTGGTTGAAAAAGATCATCTCGACGCACGATTGGTCAAATCCAACCAATTATGCGTCAATATGATGACTTCGGTCACCCTCCAGCGATGATGACCGACTGCCAATATTTAATTGATAGATGAGAGTGTTTTTATAATTTTTAATATTTTTATTACATTGATGTTTAATAAATGGCCGAACAACTTATGCATACCCAAGGTTTGTCGAAACGATAAGTTGGTATCCAAAAGGTTTTGAAACGACAAATAGGTACCTTCCGTCATGTTCTGTTAGTGATTTTCATTTGATAATAGTGAAAAGACTAAAATGCCCTTAAAAGTTTAATATTTTAGATTTTTATAAATTTAAAATTTTCTAAAAAACCCCCTAGGTTTGCTAATTTGACTAAATACCCTAATATATAAAAATTTTATAAAATAACAAAAACACCCCTGCCACCCCCGCAGTGCCAGATTCCGGCCACCACCGCCGGAATCTGGCCGAAAAATTGCGTTACGACACAGACCCATCGGATCTGTGTCGTAACGCGTAGATCTTTCATTTTCCGGCAAGATCCGTGGCTGATCTGGCCGGAAAAGACCAGATCTACGGCCAGATCTGGCCGTCAAGACCGGAAACTTGCCGGAAAACTGTGTTACGACACAGACCCATCGGATCTGTGTCGTAACGCGTAGATCTTTCATTTTCCGGCAAGATCCGTGGCTGATCTAGTCGAAAAAGGCCAGATCTACGACCAGATCTGGCCATCGAGACCGGAATCTCGCCGGAAAATTGTGTTATGACACAGACCCATCGGATCTGTGTCGTAACACGTCGATCTGGCATTTTCCGGCCAGATCCGTGGAGGATCTGGCCGTCGAGGCCGCAAAAGGCCAGACGTAGATCTGGCCTTTTCTGGCAAGATCCGTGGCGGATCTGGCCGGAAAAGGCCAGATCGGTGTGTTACGACACAGATCTGACGGGTCTGTGTCGTAACACAATTTTTCGGCCAGATTCCGGTGGTGGTGGCCAGAATCTGGCACTGTGGGTGGTGGGGGTGTATTTGTTATTTTATAAAAATTTTATATATTGGAGTATTTAGTCAAATTAGCAAACCTGAAGGGTTTTTTAGAAATTTTTAAATTTATAAAAAACTAAAAAATTAAACTTTCAAGGGCATTTGAGTCTTTTCACCATTATCTAACGAAAATCATTAACAGAATATGACGAAAGGTACTTATTTATCGTTTCAAAACTTTTTGGATACCAACTTATCATTTCGATAAACGTTGGGTATGTATAAGTCGTTCTCCCTTAATAAATTAACAAACTTAAAAGGATGTTTTTTATGTTAATTTTCAAATCACTCAACTCTTTTCATTTCATTTTTCAAACCTAGGGAATAACACGTGGCATAACCTGAAAAAAGAGATGTATATTCGTCGCCTGAGAGATTCGAACTCTCGCGGGGAAACCCCATGTACTTAGCAGGCACACGCCTTAACCACTCGGCCAAAGCGACTTCATTGGTATATGCGTTGTTTCTTTATTACAAGACTCTAGAAAAGCATTTAATCCATGATCATAAAATACTGAAGTATCCGGTTTCTGATAATTTCGTAAGAGGATGTTACATAGTTTTAAAGAGTTTTAATAATCATAGTACAGTGGATGCCAAACCAAAGAATAAAGCAGAATGGACACAGCCTCATTGGATGGTTGTACATGCACGGAAGAATTATACCAAGCAAACAATCTAAAACACTATGCCTGTGTAGTGTATAGCTCTTATCATGCCAAAACAAAGAATAAAGCAGAATGATAGAACAACCAAGGGCAGAGTTCAAGAAATATGCAACAAGAATTTTCTGATTTCTTCCCAATGTTTTACAACTTACAATTTGATTCACAGAGCTGTACATGTATAAGCCCCCCAAATAAATAACAGAAGGAAAAGGGAAAACATGAAAAACAACTGTGTATATACTTTCCCGTTGTTGAAATTTGATGTATGTACTCGTACCACAGCTCCAGTCTTCACAAGAAGCACACACATTTAAGAACAAATTTAGATGAACTTTCTGGTCAATTCTTTGATGAACTTTCAAAGGTGGAAGCACTTCAATACGCCGTTCT